TCTGAGGGTTGTGGTTCAAAGCCAGTGGGGGCTGGCAAGTCAGTGAGACTCTTTTCTCCATATAACTACCAAAAATCAGAAGTAGTGTTGTGTCTCGAAGTAACAGAGTACTAGGCTTGAGCAAAAAGGTTCATGAACAGAGCCCAGGATGCCAGTTCAAGTCCCATTACCTACAATGTTGGAAAGGAAAGACTAAAGGAAGAAAGAAACGTAGAATAATAGAAGAAATGCAGTAAAACTAAACCAATACAGTCTTAGAGTTCAGTCTTAGATTAGAACTAGGGAAATTAATTCTAATACTTTTTTTTTCTTGAGTAGAAAACAAAGAAGGTGGTCTTGATGGGAATAGAATTAGTTCAATGATAATAATAACAACATTATGATTGAATGTTTTTACTCATGTACTCAGTATGGTAATGGGTGTATTAATTAAATGATTTCCAGTAATTAAGAATCAATTAAACACACACCTGATATCTTATACCTGTTCTTTTACAGATGAAAATCTGAACCAATTAGAAAATAAATATTCTCACTCACTTAAATGCTATTCAACACCTAATTCTTTCTAAAGAATATAATATAGATTATCCAGTAATTCACAAGTCCTTCAACTTTCTATTAGATTGATTGAAATAGATTACTCTCGAGTGTGCAGTGTATAGAACCACCAACATTTTACAACCAGATATTTATATTTATGTGTTAGACACTTCCATTTATCATAGTACCATGTAAGTGTAATTTATTTTTATATACATGCTATGGAAATGGCTGAGAAGGTCTGCTAAAACCAATTCGATCTAAAGTAAATAGCACAGGTTGGTGAATATTGCATTGATGTATATGTGTTTCTGATTCATGTGTCAAAGTATTTTTATGTAAGGTTGAACTTAATTTTCTTGAAGCAATAGAAACTAATCCATACATATGTATGTAGATATTTTGTGACTTCTCACCCTATTTTCATATATTTCTTTTTTTTAATTTTAATTTTATTTTTTGTGAACATACTGTACAGAGGGGTTACAATTCATATATTTCTTTTTTATCTTTCTATTCTCTCATTTATTCCTTTGGATATTTAAAAATTTTTAGAAATAACATTTGTAAGTAGGTAAACATAGACATGATTCAGTTTCTATAATCTGATGGTAATTCCAAAAGTTGGGTATTTAGGTTCTCAGTGTTTGGTTTGATTTGAAATATTTTTAACCACCCACTCTCTGAGAATGCCCTTTGACATTTAGACTAAAGCCTCCTTTGTCAAAAACCTACCATTTATACTGATACAATTTTAAGACTGTTCTTTAAAAAATCCTCGCACATTTCTGAAAGAAAAAGACACATGCCAACATTTTTAAAATGCCTTGTCCTTTTACATTCTGCTTTGGGGGTAATGTCAAGATACACAGACCAACACTGGAATAAAAGTGAGTAGGCACCATTTCACTGTTTCTTTCGTGAATTGATGAATTATTATAATACCCTTTGGCAGAGAGCTTATTCCTAAGTGAAAATTGTTTTTGCATCAACTATTGCAGTTTTGTTCCAAAATAGTCTCTCTGAAATGAGGATCAGTTTAGAGTTATAGTCAGAAAGAAGGGTTCCATAAATTAAATTAAGTCAAGTAGCTTATGCCTCTAATCCTAGTTAGAAAGGAGGATGAGATCTGATGATTGCAGTTTGAAGCCAAACCAGGGAACAAAAGTCCATGAAATTCTTATTCCAATTAATTACGAAATAGCCATAAATGGAGCTGTGGCTTAAGTGGTAGAGCACTGGGCCTGAACAAAAAGAAACTCAGAGACATTACCCAGGCCCTTAGTTCAAGCTCCAAGCCTCACACAAAGGAAAAACAGAAATAAGTTAACCTGTCTAATCTGTCATAGAAAATATCTGTCATTAAAGTTAACATGAACTAAAATGTGAAGCTCTCTTACATAGAATGCAACACTTTATCCAGAATCGATTTGTGAAACATAGTCACAGCTTCAACCTCATGCCAAAATATCTGATTATCTCTTGTTCATTGTTTCCATGTCACACATGGAGAAAAGAAACTTCAATTAGTGTAGAGAATGAGGTAAGGGAATCACAGGCAATCAAGACACTAGAGAAATTGAGCATTGACTCCAAATTTTAGTTGTAAGCTAGATGCCACTGAGGGCACACAAGACACAATTCCATCCTCAATTTTTCTGACATCATTGGAAATATAAAATCAAAACCGATTTTGAAAGCTCTGTAACAAGATATATGCCCTTTTCTTTTCCAGGGAAGAGTAGTCTTGGATTTTCTGAAACATGTCAAGTTACAGATGAATTTTCTATATATATATTTAAATATCCAATTACTAAAGAAATCAAAAATTAACTTAAGGGTATATATGTTTTGTTCTTTATCATGCTGTTTTCTTTTCAGTGCAAGATAATATTATCTTCTGAGATTGAAAACAGGAAAACAAAAAGTCTGAGGATTTAGAATGAATAGTAGAATTATGAAAAGGCTTGGAAAATACATTTAAATGTAATTTTCTTCCTTTATCAAAAGAGTTATAATACAAAGTACAATGATTAAATAAAATAAACTGAATTAAAATAGAAAACATGACTGATATGCATTAGTTTCCCAAAGGAATGAATCAACTTTTTACTCTCAAGAGAGTATTCTTATTTATTCATGAAAATTCAAACACATAATAGGACAGCAATAAATTTAAATATGGAGAGAAATGCAATATAATTCCTTAGGTTATGTTTCTATAGAATTATATCATTAGGATGTTGAAATAATGAGATGTAGTAAATATAGAAGGCACCCCTATTTCTAATATGATATAATGACATGTTTTGAGATGAAATCTATTGTTCTGCAATGCTTGTACCAGAACATCATAAGGGAAAATTGATGAGAATTCTCAAGGTGTTCACGAGACAAAATTTGGTACGTGGGCTATTTTTTTTTAATCTACAAACTGTTGGTAGAATTTGTTTGAGAAATATTGCGTAGAGTCAAAACTACCTGTTCTACACAAAGGTGCACTGTCTATTCGCCTCTGGTCATATGAAATAATATTTTTTTTAATTTTACTTTATTTGTGAACATGCTGTACAGAGGAGTTACAATTACATGGGCAGGATAATACGTACATTTCTTACCAAGCATTGCAGCCTCCTCCTTTGTTTACCCTTCACATCCCTTCCCAGCCTCCCCCCTCCCCCCCAATCCCAATCCTTCTCCTTCCCCCCCCCCCCCGCACCTACGTTGTAAAGCTCATTTTGGACATGACAACTTGTACTTCTCATTGTTGCAACAGGTCCACCTGTATCCTTAAACAACTGGTTTTTCCCCATCTCCTCCACAAGTTATACTGACATCAAATATAGTGAAAGCAGGGGTTATACTGTGGGGGAGGGACATACAAAGCAACAAAGAGATAATCTTATAAATGCGTTAGAAACACATGCATGAAAGAAAAAAACATTAAAATACACATCTAACGGTCATTTTCCTGACATCACATTATCTGACCTTTTCCGCTTGACTCATACATAAACAAAAAATAAAAAAAAAGGAAAACATGGGACCTATGTTTCTTTGGGCCTGGCTTACTTCACTTAATATAATTTTTTCCAAGTTTTTCCATTTCCTAACAAATGGGGCAATGTCATTCTTTCTGATGGAGGCATAGAATTCCATTGTGTATATATACCACATTTTCTTGATCCATTCATCTACTGAGGGGCATCTGGGTTGGTTCCATATCTTAGCTATGGTAAATAATGCTGCAATAAACATAGTTGTGCTGGTAGCTTTATATTTATTGAAATAAACTCCAAGAAATGCAGAAAAAGTATTTTCTTTGTTTTTGTTTTGTTTTGTCTTGTTCATTTATCTGTCTTTGGGATGGTTGGGGGGCACAGAAATGGAAGGAGAAAGGGTGAACAAATGCAGTGGTGGTACTCATTAAACACTATTGAAAGTGAACTATACAACTTGTGGGCAGGGATGGAAGGGAAAACTGGGAGACACTGAAGGAAGAGCTAACATTTTTCCAAGAAAGAAATACACTGTTCATTTGATTTATGAAACTCTAACCCCTTTGTATCACCTTTACAATAGCAATAAAAATTTCATCCATTAAAAAACATCTGTTGGGGCTGGGAAGGTGGCTCAGTGGTAGAGCGCTTGTCTTGCATGCCTGAGGCCCTGGGTTCGATTCCTGAGCACCACATAAGCAAAAAGAAAAAAGCCGGAAGTGGTGCTGTGGCTCAAGTGGTAGAGTGCTAGCCTTGAGCTGAAAAGCTGAGGGACAACACTCTGGCCCAGATTTCAGGCCCCACGACCGGACCTAAAAAAAAAACCCACAAAAAACACATCTGTTCCGGTAGATAATAATGGCTTTATGTCATTAAATGTTTCTATAACAGAATTTTCAGAAAAACAGACATTGAAATTATATTTGAAATATAATATGAATCATAGTTGAGCTGTTGGCACGTGTAATGGGTGATTGGTAAGAGCAAGTAGTCAAAGGAATGGCTGAGGAGACACATTCCCTTCGTTGTGATTGAATGTAGCCAGAAGGAGGTTAAACATAACTCTTACCATAAATGTATATTTTGTTAACAGTAGATGAAAACTACTCCATCCAAAGCTGCCTTTTGTTTAAATCTTCAAGTCTTTTTATAAAAAATGATCAAACTGGGTAGAGTGGTTCAAGCCTATAATCATCAAGGCTTAGATCTGAGGATGGCAATTCAAAGCCAGCCAGGGCAGAAAAGTCCATGAGATTCTTGAGCTGTGCCTCAAGTGATAGCCTTAAGCACAAAAGGTCAGTGCCAGTGTCTGGGCCTTGAGTTCAAGCCTTGGGATATGCACAACTTCTTCCCCCCCCAACAAAACAACAACAACAAAACAAAATAAGATTTAAATTCAAAGGTGATGACAAAGAATTGCATCCATATATCCAGTATTTAGCAATAAATGCAAGCTCATTAGAAAGTTGTTACCTTTCCTGAGGACAGACACCTCCCCAGAGCTTTCTTCATGGCCCCTGTGACATCCTTGTTCCTGAGGCTGTAAATGAGCGGGTTGAGCATGGGAGTGAGGATGGTATAGAAAGCAGACACAGCTTTGTCCTGCTCAGGGGTGTGGTACGAGTGCGGTAGCACATATGTGTACATGGCCGCTCCATAGAAGAGACTAACAATTAGCATGTGAGAAGAGCAGGTGGCCACAGCCTTCTGCCTTCCTTCTGCCTCATTCATCCTGTAAACAGTTACGAGAATCCTTGTGTAGGATGCTGAGATGACAGAGAAGGGGATGAGGAGCATTAGGATGCAGCAGACATACATGGCTGTCTCATAAGCCGATGTGTCCACACAGGAGAGTTTCAAAAGGGCAGGAACCTCACAGAAAAAGTGATTGATTTCCCTCGAGGCACAGAAGGGGAACTGCATGGTGACGGGGGTGAGTAAGAAGCCATCGACAGATCCTCCCAACCAGGCTGCCACCACAATTAACAAGCAGATCTTGCGGCTCATAAGTTCAGAGTATCGTAGAGGGTTGCAGATGGCTATGTAGCGGTCGTAAGACATGAGTCCCAGAAGGAAGAACTCAGCCCCTGCCAGGGTCAAATAGAGGAAGTGCTGTGCAGTGCAGCCCACAAAGGAAATGGCCCTGTGTCCAGTCACCTGATCAAGCAGCATCTTTGGCACAATGGTGGAAATGTACAGAATGTCCATGAGGGAGAGCTGGCTGAGCAGGAAGTACATGGGGGTGTGGAGGCGGGAGTCCATATGGATCAGAATAATCATGATAATGTTACTGGCTATAGAGATCACAAAGACCAGGAGAATGAGGGCAAAGAGAAGCCAGGGAAATCTGGTATTGCTGAACACACCCAGGAGGACAAAGTCGGCATACGTGGAATAGTTGCTCCACTCCATAGCTCTGTAGGTTTCACATAAAACAGAGATGCATGTCACAGGAAGTTCAGGTGAAAATATTGTTTGTTTGAAATAGTATGTGATGATCATAGGCAAATCAAGAGATTTTTTTACCTAATTAAGCCCAGAAATTAATTTCTAGGATTAGAGCTAAGAGCTCTGAGCTATGAGGAGCTATCCAAGAGCCATCAGGAAAACAAATGTTTACTGTCAACTGAGAAAAATAGCAGAAGAAGACTTACCAAGGGGAAAAATAAAGCTTAGGGTCAACTGGCATTTTTCTTTTTTTCCCTCTTTTAACAGACTGGTTATCAACAAATAATTTATTAATCCAATAAAAGAACTAGGAGGAATAATTAATAGATACAGCTTTAATACAAATAAGAATGGAAAAGTGAACTGATTTAAATAATATTACAGGATATTGCTTAAATTTGAAATAAGCATGTGCACATTTCAGTTATATAATACTTCAACACAATTCTGAACACTTCCACGTGTTTGGATGATTTTTCTTGGTATGATATATGCCTATATTATCTAATATGCTAGCTATGAGTAACCTGAAGCTGTTGAATACCTAAGACATGACTATTCAATGTTGAGACATGGTACAAAAAAGCAATCAAAGATATTGTGAAAAGATATACAGCATTTTATAATTGGTTGAACATTAAATTCATGATGTTCTTGACATATTTGGTTAAATAACAGATTATGATTGATTTTATTGCTTCTTTTTACATTTTTAATATGGCAATTGGATATTATTTTGTGGCCTACCTAAATTCTTGCTGAAGTCTATACACAACTTGTTCCCAGTCTATGACCACATTAAATATTTAATTTAATCAAGTTTTCTAGGAATGAACACATTCCAAGTTACACAAAAGTGCAACAATTAACGTTCACTGCAATAGTAAGTAATGATGTTGCCTGCCATGCTCATCTACCTGGAACTAGTAGCAAGAAATCATCAATTACACACTGAGTGGTATTTCATAAATATCAACTATTAAATTATTTTTCCCAACAACCTTATGAAATACTAGAATACTACTACGTCATCCATTCTACAGATGAGAAAAATGAGGCCTAAAGAGACAACCTTCTCCAGGAGCATAATTCACCAGTATCAACACAGATGCTCTGTATCAATTTTCAATAAGTCAAAGTAGCCAACAATTCATTAATTTCACAATTATTTTCTGAAGCCCAATGGGTAAGTCAAAGCTTCTGATTTCTACATAGAGCTCAAAGCACATTGAAGACATTTTCCTGCCTTTGGAGTCTAGAGTTGAGGTAAATGAAATGCCCTTAGCTGGTGCCCAGTCAAAAACTTAGTTTAAGAATGGTTTTGATTAAGACCCTTCAAATTGTGGTCTCTAATTGAAAATGGAGAATCTAAGGGCAGAACACTGTTAGATAAAGACAAGAAAGCTGTGGGAACTGAACTTCAGTGGCCAGTATTGAGGAGTTCTCAGGACGCCTCCCTTGTCTCTTTTACCATGCTATGGTAGATTCAATAAAACCATAAAAGGTAAATTCTCAGCCAGAGTTTTACTGATAACACCCACATCTTGTAAAAGTTTTAGCTTTTTGTTCTTGAAATATTTCCAACTTTTCTGTCTTTCTGTATACTTCCTCATTCTATTTCTGTCCCTTTTCCCCACAGGGAGATTAAAATCACATGTTCAGATGTGGTTCACATGTTGCAGAAAGAGAAAAATGTCCACTCAGTCCTGTCCCTCTTTGGAGGGCTATGTTCATTACGGCACTCTAAGTTCAGGGCATAGTGGATTGCCGTTGGACACTGAGTGCAGGGACTGCTATTGGTCCACAAGAAAAACTCAAGGCCAAGAGATACAAATGGGCAAGCACACACACACACACACACACACACACACACACTTTGACATAAATACTTCTCTATGAGGACAAGAGTATCCCTAGACCTGACTATAAATTTTGCTAAAACTAAAACTTACTAATGAGACTCCAGAGATCACCAGAAACTCTTCACATAGGGAAAAAGAGATTTGCGAGGATCCATAATATCGAAGCTCTCCAAATATGGATATTTTACTTTAAACCAGACTAATAGAACAAAAATATGTAGCAACATTACAGAATGTAAGGAAAATAAAAAATAAAATGAAAATGAGGTCTTTATATAAATGTTATTATTATGTCTATGCATTATATTTATTTTCTATTTGACCATGCTAGGGATCAACCCAAGAACTTGAATGTATTAATACTCCACCACTGAGCTAAACCTTCTACATCGTTTTTAAAATTTAATATAGCTTCAATTTTATTTAAACTCAATAGCATTTAATATCCCATTCTCAGTAAATACATAGTATATATCCAGAATATTGCTACAGTTGAGTAGCATAACAAGCAGTTACAAAGTTGCTTCTCAATTGATTTCCATGCATGTTGCTTCTAAGTGGGTTTATAATGTATAGTATTATGTGTTTAATTCTATGGATAGTCTATGGGAGATATGTTATTGGGCTTTAGAATCCCATCAACAAACTGTGCTTCTAAGTGCTTCTAAGCAGCAATGGTTCTGAATTGTGTTTACAGCAGCATTTAGCAATAGCATATACATTTAGTCAGTACAATTTTAACCACAATAGAACAAGCATACTTTTCGGTGTATTCTCTTCTGCTGATTATATTGAAATTTGCTCATGGCATGTGCCCTTTTTTGCATTAGAAATGGCATAAAAATAAGCATAGAGTAGTTATAAAATAAGGCTATTTTGTGTGATATTATGTTACTTAGTTTATCCAAAGTATTACTTATCATTGTAACTTCATTTTATTTTTAGGTCCAATTTTTTCCATTACTTATGCAATTAAAGCAGTCATTTTGTACAAGCAATTTTCTTGGGAAAGTTATTCCTTATAGAGACAGGTGGTTAGTATGCAATTCTACTTTATTTTAGTTTTGATAGTTTTAAAATAGATAATAGCTTAGCATATGTAGAATTTACTTATGTCTTTGCTGAAAATTGAGCAAATATTAGTTTCTTTGTAAGGTCAAGTATATAATATGTTCCTTTAGATCTACCACTGAGCCTTAATTTCTAGTCTTTCATAGAAGCAAGAAATCACATGTGAATATTGAATATAGAAACCAACTCACTGAGGTTCAGCATTTGTCAGTTAATGTGAAATATATCATCACTGTGAAATTTGTTTTTGCCCACACTTCTTGAACACACCTGGTAAAATAGGTGAGTGCTAGGTCTATTTTAATCAGAATTGTAATAGCAAGACATAACTGTTTGAATCTCACCTGGTGATTTCCATATTGTTACTCTCCAGTAATGCAGATCCAATATTAGAGAGTTGGTTTTATTTTTTTTGCTCTTTCAGATGTTGTTATTTTCTTGTTTAGCACTTTTCTGTGTCAAGAACCGACACAATCCTTGTGATCCAAAGATGTTTCAAAGTACAACAGGGCTTGAACAGTAACTGTCCCCCAAAGCAGTGATAAACAGTGACACTCACTAAAAGCCATTTAATCCTGAGTATAACTTGGCATTGTGCATAGGTTACCTGTAGTGTCACTTTTACTTGTGCAAGTGAATGAAACTTCTAAAATAAAACCACTTGGAAAATCATTAAAGTGTTAAAGAAATTCTAATAGACTCCCTTCTTCCTAAAAGCGACCAACATCATGATCACCTCTTAATTATGCCACAAGAAAACTTTCTCAGCTATTACTTTCCTCAATTCCTACTTATATACCATGTTTGGTGTGCAGTGCTTCAAAGCTTAGGGTGTGAGATCAGATACCTGTTATCTTCACCATTTACGAGCTCCCCTATGTCTTGTGAGACACAGTCTCATCTTAGCTACCTCCAGGAATTGCTAAGTATCAAGTTAAAAAGTCTGTCTTTTCTTTAAACAGGACAAGGATAATTTCTAATAAATAGACCTTATTTATAAACGTTTAAGAATTCCATAAAAGGCAGTAGAATAGTGTAAACAAATAAATTCCTCTCCTTGAAATCACTTTAGAATTACATACTTGAATGATGAAACAAAGTTTTAGTTTTAAACAAACCTACACACAATTACCAAATATGTCTTTGGTTTGAACAAACTTTCTACCAAATGCAAAACACTATGCCATTTGTGGATATAAAGTCCTCAGAGTTACCTACCTTCCACAGTTGGCCCTCCACACCTAAAGAACTGATTGTTACTGTTCAGGGAAAACTCTTACATAACTGAAGCAGGAAATGTAGCTGTTCAGCATTTCTTTTTATGAAGCAAATGTAGGGAAGAAGAACAAAAAATCAGACTTTCTAACCTGAGGACTTTCTATCCTCTTCCACAAGACAGAAAGGAAAGGAGAGAAGATGAAGTACAGATAGAGAGTGGCTATCTACACAAAACATGAAACATAGCACTTAAACTTAGAGTTACATCCTGTTAGCAGAAGTTCCCTTCCTGAGACTTTAAGTTAAAAAAATATCGAATATACGAATGACCCAGAGATATACCAGCCTTAGTCATGAAGAACCTAACAAAGACATGCAGCTGTGCCTACATGCTGTAGGGTGCTGAAAACAAAGGCTAGTGGTTTATATCAGAGAATATGTGCCAGGGTAATCCCAGTACTTGCTTCCTAGTGCTCTCATTTGGAAGAAAATCTGACATCAGCATAGTCATCCCAAGAGGATCTTTGTCTCTAAACTACAATTAAATGGTTCGCAAATAAATGTGACAAATTTCTTTAGTTAACAATTTTAATTGAGAAAAAACCCTTTCAATTTATAAAGAATTTTAATCATTTTCTTTTATAAATCATTGTTACTCAAATTAAATTACCTTTGCTCTGTTGTTGGCATTGCTTTGGAAGTCTCTTTCCTTTTCTGTATTTCAAGTCTTTATGCATGTTTCACCTCCAGGATTAAAGAAAAATCAGACCTTCCCTAGGCAGTATTATATTGCTAATGGTACATGTTAATATA